GGAGGATATGTGTGCGAAGGAGCTTGCATCGGCCTGGGGCGACATCAGGGCAGACCTCTCTCTAATGAAGTATGCCGACGATTTGCATAAGTTCGTCCTGGCCAGCCCGAACACTACCTTGGGTCAATTCCTTCAGAAGCTAAGTTTGTCTGATGATTTGCTGAACACACATCTTCTTGAATATGGTTTCGGGCAAAACATGAAGAAGCAAGAGTTTATGTTCTTTTTTTCTGCGGGGGGTCATACCAGTCGTCAATATATCCGTGATCATCCGGAATCTCTCTCGGGCACGGCTCGTGATGCTGTGCGCTACTTGGGCCCGCACTTGGTCATGCGAGACACCGCTTCTCACGAGGTGGATCGACGTTTGCAGGCAGCGCGAGTTTCCTTCCACAGTTTGGGGGGCGTGTGGTCGCTCCCTCTCCCTTATCGCTTCACTCGCCTTCTGCTCATTGGCTTCGCGCAGAACACTATCTTGAGTGGCATGGAGGCTTTTATCCTTAGTAAGAACGACTACGACAAACTAGACAGGGGTCTGGCGGCGATGGGGAGGATAGCTATGAGGGGGAAGGCGTGCACGAGGGAGGAGGACAAGATTCGGAGTATGAGTACATCACAGGTTCTGAGTTTTTGGAAGTTGGCCCCTAGCAGTATTGAAATGTCCGTACGACGCCTTCGACTTTATCAGGGATGGGCTCGTGATTATAAGAACCATGTTCAAGTTTTATGCTCTCTATTTGGTGAAATGCCCCTGGATAAACATCGGCCTCAACTCCTCGGTGGGGGCCCTACGCAGTACTCATCGCCCTGGGTCCGACAAGTAAGAGATGATCTGGTTTCCGCTTCGAAGATTATAGAAAATGGGGACTTGGAGGATCTGGCTGGTGACTTACGCTTGTTTAAGGATGCGGACATCGCGGCGGGGTTCGCAGCTTTGGATGTTTCTCAGATTCGAGCACGTTGTTTTTCCACGATGATCGCGCCTCCAGGTGACAACTACACAAGATCTAGTCATGTGGGGGCTTTGAATGAAGGTGGTCCTGAGAGTCTCGGAGGGTCTAGCGGTTCCGAGGTCGAGGGCTTTTTCTCCTGCGAGATTCTGAAAGAAGATGGATGCGTCTGTGGGGAGGCTTTTTCTTCACGCAGTAAGCTTATGAATCACATGAGGCGGGTGCACGGCATCCGCAACCTGGCGCACGTCCTTACCCCGTCGAATTTGTGCATTGTCTGCCGCCAAGTCTTCGCCTGTACCTCAAATGCGGGCCGCCACTTGCAGGGATCGATGGAGAGAGGCCATTGTATGACACGAGGTCCGTCGACCTTTCAGACGGTGGCTACTGTTCCGAAGTCCTTGGTTTGCCCTGTTTGCCATTATGAAGGCTCGAGCTTGGACGACTTGTGCACCCACCTCACCTCGCACATCCCAGTGCCGATTGAAACCTCGTTTCAGACAAGCAGCCATGGGCAGCGCCGAGGACAGGATGGTGCTCGAATCTCCTGCGTGGTTCAAGGGGATCAAGCGCAAGGCCGAGGGCGAGGAGGGCAACACCACCCAGGACGGCAAGGACGGCAAGGGCGGCAAGGACGGCGGCAAGGACAAGGCCAAGACGCTCAAGCAGGGCGGCGGCGCGCCGATGAAGCTCATCACACTCATCGCACAGCTTCTCATGAGCGTCACCCGCGAGGTGGCCGAAATCTCGTCGACGGTGTTCGTGCGCTACGTCATTCTCGCTGGCGGCGGGCTCGCGTCGGCCCTCATCATGACGGGGAAGTCTTACGACCAAGAGAGCCAGCGCCTCCGCCAGCGCAAGCAGAAAGGAGAAGAAGTAGATTTCAAAGCCCGCGGCCCACCACACATCCAGATCGCAGCGGCAGCAGCCTGGTACGGGGCCGATCGGACCATCGCCATCGGGGAAGAGCTCCTCCTCTCCTCCCCTCCTCCCAGAGATCCGATGTATTGGCTGTTTCGATGCCCTCCCCTCCCCCCTGGAAGTCCCGGCCCTGTCCCCAGGGCCAGTTTCCAATCCAGAGTCGTGTCCCCAGAGGCCGGACGCAGGGACACGTTCCGCCCTCATTTTCTCCGTACGTCCGAGGCCTGTGCCCTCCCCCTGCTAAAAGGCTCCGGGCTGCGCGCAGAAAGCCCCCCGGGTAGTCCCAGCTGGCCTCAACAGGTCCCCCGCGAAGTTCCAGCTGGGATCAACAGGTCCCCCGAGTAGTCCGGAGCGGTCTCAAAACCCCAGCGCCGCGGCGGGCGACGTCTCCTCCTCTTCCTCCTCAACCTCCTGATTCTCGTTCTCCTCTCCAATCTCGTCATCCCCCCTCCTCCCCCTCTCCCTTCTCCTCCTTCAACTCCTCCTGAGGGGGAATAGGAAGAGGCGGAGGAGTAGGAGGAGGAGGCGGAGGAGGAGGAGGAGGAGGAGGAGGAGGAGGAGGAGGAGGAGGAGGAGGAGGAGGAGGGAGGGGGAGGAGGAGAGGAGCTCTCCCTGGGGAAAAGAGGGAAAGAGGGGAAGAGGGGGAGGGAGGAGGAGACAGGAGGAGGAGGAGGAGGGAGGAGGAGGAGGAGGGAGGAGGAGGAGGAGAGGGAGGAGGAGGAGGAGGAGGAGGGAGGAGGAGGAGGAGAGGAAGAGGAGGAGGAGGAGAGGAGGAGGAGGAGGAGGAAGGAGGAGGAGGGAGGAGGAGGGAGGAGAGGAGGAGGAGGAGAGGAGAGAGGAGGGAGGAGGAGAGAGGAGGAGGAGGAGGAGGAGGAGGAGGAGGAGGAGGGGGAGGGAGGAGGAGGCGGAGGAGGAGGAGGAGGAGGGAGGAGGAGGAGGAGGAGGAGGAGGAGGAGGAGGAGGAGGAGGAGGAGGAGGAGGAGGAGGAGGAGGAGGAGGAGGAGGAGGAGGAGGAGGAGGAGGAGGAGGAGGAGGAGGAGGAGGAGGAGGAGGAGGAGGAGGAGAAGGACCAGTGTAAACCGAAGGCTCATCAACGTTGTTGGGAAAATACCCTCTTTCCAAGCTTCCTCTTCATAGGCCCCATACAAGGGTTTCTTTCCACAGAGGGAAGTGCCCCGTTGGGAGACAACTGTTTGAGCATCTTGAAGCGTGCCAGAAAGCAGTTTCTGGACTTCAACGCCACGAATGAACCTTATTCAAGCGGCTTGCGCCATTCCGCCGACCCCCAGAAAACACAAAGAGTGATGCACGAGTGCGGAAGTCATTCGGAGCATTTGGGCCTGAATGCGTTGTGTCGCATCTCGGTTCTATTGGGACCCCTCCGGCTATCTCTTGGGGCTTCGGAGCCAGGCGGTCTATGTAGGAAGGGTCTGTTGGCTTGGAGGACACCGTGTCAAGTTCGTCCCCCGTTTCTCGAACAGGATTCGGGGCTCCGGGACAGTAGAGATCAATGGGGAAGGCTTGGGCCGAGCATGTCGCGCGCGGTCTTACCCTTGCAAGTGTGGGTCGGTGGTCTCGAGTCTATGCCTGTGGGAGTCTGTGGGCAAGGCTCAGGGGAGGCTGTGGGAGGCAATCGTAAAAGCGTTCTGGGAACCGCTTCGGGGCGTTGTCGGGGTCTCGTGACGGCCACTGGGGGGCGTCCACGGAGTATGGAGCTTGCAGTGAGAGCTTGCAGCGTTCGTGGAAGGAATGAAAGGAAGTGGGTCACGAGGCGCGTGGATGCACATGAGGAGCTCTTGGGATGCTTCGCAGGAGAATCTTGGAGGGCTCCTTGTGGCACCTGGGGAGCTTTTGGAGCTTGTCGGGGACATCTTGGGGGCCTCGTGGGGGCTTCTTGGAGGCCTCTTGGCGGCTTGGGGTCATCTTGGGGGCAAAGGCTCGATTTGTCAGTTTGTGCTCGCCCTCTTGGGCCCCCCTTCGGGCCCCAGAGGGCCTCTCTTGGGCAGTCTTAGGCGCCCCTGGGGCCGTCTTCGGGCCACCTTATTGGGGGCTTCATGGCCTGCCTTGGGACGGTCTTGGGGGCTGTTTTGGCTGTCTAGGACGCTGCCAAAACGAAACATGCGAGTATGCTAAACATGCACGTTTTCCAAAGGACATGGGGCAATGCTTGCTGATTGGGCCTCTCTCGGCGGCTCTCTGGAAGCACTCTTGGGCCGTCTTGGGGGCCTCGTGGGCCGTTTCGAAGCCATCTTGGACCGTAGGAGGGCTATTCTGGGCCGTCTCGACGCTCTCTGGGACAGTGTTGGCGCTCTGTGTGGACCTCCTTCGGCTGTCTGGAGGCTGTTTGGAGGCCCTGGTGACCCCAGGGGGGTGTTGGGGAGCCTGTAGACTCCCCCTCTAATCGGATATCATGAAGCATTTCCAAAAACACCCTCTTGAGTTTTCAAAGACACGAATCAACCTTACTGTTGCGTTTGACGGCCTCGAATCGTGCCAGAACCGTTCCTGGGATTCAAACACCGCGAATTAACGTAAGAGTTACGCCCTGACAGTCCCAAATCGCTCCGAAACACCACCTCTGGTTCGTAACCATGAGAAGCCTTGAAACCTTTTAAGATGCTTAGGGCGGGTTTGCGCGGCGCTAAGGCGAGAGCCACATGTTGAAAAGGAAAGGAACCGTCCTCAATCTGTGAAGCTCTTGCACTTGTTTAAGACGAATGTGCGCGGCGCTACGGCGAGAGACACATGCTCAAAGCCGCCCGCCCTCCATCCGTGAAACGCTTGCACTTGTATAGAAACATGCGCGGCGCTAAAACGAGAGCCACATTTAGAAAACGGCCCGCTTTCACCGTGAAACTCTTACGAGTAGTTGGAACGAATGTGCGCGGCGCTAATGCGAGAGCCACATTTTGAAAACCACCCGCCCTCCCTCCGTGAAATTGTTGCAAATTCCAAGCTCGAGGATCATAAATGGTGAGGACGTCTCAGGCGAAACGTCCGGCCCGCCCTTTCGACCAGCCTCAGGGTTCGACAGGGTTGAGTTATTCATAAGGAGGAGGAATGGAGGAGGAGGAGGAGGAGGAGGAGGAGGAGGAGGAGGAGGAGGAGGAGACCTCCTCCCTCCTCCTCGTCCTCCTCCTCCTCCTCTTTCTCCTCCTCCTCCTTCCTCTTCCTCCTCCTCCTCCTCCTCATTCCTCTTCCTCCTCCCCTCTGTTCCTTCTCCCTCCTCTTCCTCCCCTTCCTCCTCGGCGCTCTGCGCTGCGGGCGTTGCCTCCCTGTCCGAGCCGTTCTGGTTCGAGCAGCTGAACTGCGTGCAGGCCGGGCCTCGTGACCCCGAGGACGAGGCCGAGGTGCAGACCGCGTTCGCGTGCCAGGTGGTCGCCTGGACGGTCACCCTCAGGCCTCCAGGAGGAGGAGGAGGAGCAGGAGGACGCTGATGATAAGGGTAGCGATGACGATGACGACGGTGACGATGACGGAGACGAGGGTAACGATTCGATGATGAGGATGACGATAATAATGATGATGTTGATGATGATGCTGCTGCTGATGATGCTTCTGATGATGATGATGATGATGATGATGATGATGATGATGATGATGATGAAGTTGATGATGCTGATGATGATGGTGATGCTGACGATGCCGATTATGAAAATGATGATGGTGATGCTGCTAATGATGATGATGATGATGATGATGGTGGTGGTGGTGATGAGGGTGATGATGCTGGTGAGGATGAGGATCATGATGAGTGTGAGGATGATACTGATGATGATGACGATGATGATGACGACGATGATGATGGTGGTGGCAATGGTGGTGACGACGACGACGACAACGACGACGACGATGAGGAGGAGGAGAAGGCGGCGGAGGAGAAGGATACGGATTATGATGATGATGATGATGATGATGATGATGATGATGATGATGATGATGATAATGGTGGTGGTATTGGAGGTGGTTGTGGTGGTGGTTGTGATGATGATGATGACGCCGACGTCGACGATGATCACAGTGATGCTGATGATGATGAAGGTGATGATGATGGTGATCATAATGATAATGATGATGATCATGGTGCTGATGAGGATGAGGATTATGATGAGGGTAATGATGATGACGACAATGATGATGATGATGATGATGATGATGATGATGATGATGATGATGATGATGATGATGATGGTAATGATGGTAATAATGATGCTGATGATAATGATGATGATGGTGATGATGTTGATGTTGATGATGATGAGGATGAGGATGAGGATGAGGATGAGGATGAGGATGAGGATGAGGATGAGGATGATGATGATGATGGTGATGGTGATGATGATGATGATGATGATGATGATGATGATGATGATGATGATGATGATGATGATGATGATGATGATGATGATGATGATGATGATGATGATGATGATGATGTAAGGGCGATGGGCACAGTATAGATCGTCTGTCCCGCGGCCGGTCTCGAAACTCAAGGCCCTTCTGCTGCGCCAAAGAAGGCGCACGGGCCATCTCCGCAGGGAAAGCGTATGCTGTGGGCGAGCCTGGGGACCTCCGCAGCAGTCAACCTCGACGTGACCAGCGGAATCACAGCCTTCGCCGTTTGGGTGATCCGCGGGGCCTTCTCGGACGCTGCCGCGTCTGCGCGTGCAGCTGGGCGTGCCGAGGTGACCTGCCCCGAAGTCCCTGCCCCAGCCCGTCACTGCCACAGCGCGTGCGAGGCGCCCAACAGCGGGGGTACCTCTGGACTCGAGCTGCTCACCGGAGCTGCTGCTCCTCCTGCTGCTCCTCTTCTTCTTCCTCCTCCTCCTCGTCCTCCTCTTCCTCCCTCCCTCTCCTCCTCCTCCTCCTCCTCGTCCTCTTCCTCCTCCTCCTCTTCCTCCTCCTCCTCCTCCTCCTCCTCCTCCTCCTCCTCCTCCTCCTCCTCCTCCTCCTCCTCCTCCTCCTCCCCCCTCCTCCCTCCCTCCCCCTCCCTCCCTCCCTCCCTCCCTCCCCTCCCTCCCTCCTCTCCCCTCCCTCCCTCCCTCCCTCCCTCCCTCCCTCCTTTGTCGCGGTGCTTCTCGCTTTTGTCCACGTGCTGCTGACGTGCACCACTAGCGCGTGTGGGCGCAAAACCGCCGGGACTTCTGGGTGTAGTACCGCTTTTCTTTGGAGCGGACGACTGGGCCTTGCCGACTGGGCCAAGGGAGAAGGGGCCGCAGAGACCGTTCGTGAAGCACGAGGGCGCGGACAAGGAGTCGTCATGCGCGTGCGTGCTCTTGACTTGCATACGTGGGGTTGTCTCGATCGCGGGCGGCCCGGGCTACGACGATGATGATGAGAATTATGGTGGCGTGAACACGTTCGAGATGGTGGGGCTCCTCGGAGACATTGTGGCGTTCGGCATCGGGGCCGCCAATCTCTACCCGTTCAATGCCGCCCCGACCGACGCCGAGATGCAGCAGCTGCTCGCGGGGGCGTCAGCGGTGGTCGCGCTCCGGCCCGTGGCCGCGGCGGCGGTCCCAGCGGTGCCCGAGGTCGCGGCGGCCGCGCCCGCGGGGGCGGCAGGCCGCGGGGCCCCAGGCGCAGCAGCATCGGCGGCGGCGCCGAGCTGGGTCACCGCGTCACGTGGACAGTCGCATCATCGGGGCGTTCGTGACGATGCCGCCCAGAGCCGGGATCCTGCATGACTTCGCGCCGAGCGCGCTGATCGGGAAGCTGGCGCCGCGGCTCGCCCTGGTCAAGCAGCTTGCGAACTTCCAGTGGGAGGTCGTGTCGTGCTGCGAGGAGCGGATCGAGTGGTGCAGGGCAGGGACGGTCCCGCACGGGAGCGACCAGGTAGTCGGGGTGTGTGTGTGTGTGTGTGTGTGTGTGTGTGTCCGATCGCCCTCGGAGGTGCCCGGTCCCGACGGGCATTTTGGTACAGGAGACGATGATGGCCGACTTTGGCGACTCCCCGCCGGCGGGCTCATGCGCGACGGAGTGGCACTGCCGTGAGACGGTTAGGGGGGGCCGGGAGGCCTTTGGCGCAGCACGTCAAGTGGCAAACGGAGGCGAGGATCGCAGGTGGCGACTGCACGCTCCACGTTGACACGAGCCTGACGTTGATCCAGGAGTGGGTGGTCACCTACGACGGCCTCGACGTCCTGATCCTCGCGGGCATGGGGGAGATCACGAAGGAGACGAGGATGGCGGCCGAGCACCGCACCCTCCGCGCCAAGCCTGCAAGCAGAGGAGGCAATTGCCAGGAGGGCGGTGGGGCCGCCGATGATGGCCGGTGCACAGGGAGAGGGGGGCCGAGGTGGCTCGGTGGCTCCCCCCTTCCACGAAGAGCCTCGGCACAGCCGAAGCTCCGCTCAGGTGAGTTCAGCCTGGGCGGGGGTGCCCCAGAGCATGCCGTGGGCTCCAGCGGCACCCTGGTTTTCGGAGCCAGCTGCCGCCGCCTCCCGCCAGCGGGGCAGCTTCCCGCTTCCCTGGCTCGCCGATATGGAGCTGGACCGCGAGTTGGGGCTGAGCCGCTCGACGACAGGACGGATCCATGTCTGGTTGGCGGTCGCCACGAACGTCAACAGGTTGGTGGATACGCTGAACACCATGCACTTCGAATCCAGGGAATGGCCTGCCCCTCCAGACGCGCGTGAGCTTCTGTGCCTGCCGCAGTGCCAGCGCGCTGCCACGGTGCACCCGACTGCTCGCGTTCGCGAGCTGGGCCCGATTGCCCCCTGGAGCCGCCCGCCCAGGAGCCCTGGAGGAGCTCCGAGTTTTCTTAACGCACTTGCGCGGGGGATCTTGGGCAAGGGTCCAGGGCCTCCGTGGTCTTGCAAAATTGGTCGCTCCTGGACTCGCAGCGGCAACCTGTAGATGTGGTCTCAGTCTTGGTAGGAACACCACACCCCGTGAGTGCCTGCGAAGTTTTGAAGAGCGCGTGCTTGTCGGTGCCGCGGCCTGGAGCGTTCTGTCCGAGCGTGCCGCCGCGGCGCCGCCTCACGCGGACCCGCTTTTGCAGAGGCATGACGGCGACGGAGCTTTCACGTTGACGTTAGCTTCGAGGGGTCTCGCGAGGTTCAACCGCGGACCCGCCGCCAGGAATGGGGCGTTCACCGTGCGTGAGAAGTCTGGGAAGCAGCGCCTGGCGCTGGACCATTGGCAATGCAATCCCCGTTTGGCACCGCCACCGCGCGCCGAGCTCGGCGGCCTCAGTTCTTCGAGCGGTTTAGAGCTCCCCACTATCAGCCCCGACCGACAGCAGAATGTTGCTAGACTTTTTTTAGGGGGGGGGGGGGGGGGGGGCGTGCCTTTTAAGATTCGGTGGCCCGCGGCCTGGAAAGGTCTCTTCGGTTTTCTTGGAATTGCTGCAATTTGGACGTTGTGATCATCTTGCGGCGCGCCATCGCGCTTCAAAGCCATCGGGCCGACATCGCGCCGCCTCCGCGTTGCGTCGCCAAGTGCGCGTAGATGCGCCGCGTTTGTTGCCGTTTCTGCGATTTGCGCGGGCCAGCGGGGTTCCGCGCGCAGCGCGGGTGAGAATGGGTCGATGGGCGGCCCGTTCCCTGGAATACGGTTGCCATGGGCGAGACGCAGGATACTCGATGTTGGGTTGCGCCCGCGCAGGCGCGCACGCGGCGCAGCATCGCCACGAGCGCCTCTTCTAGATCAGCGTCCTTGGCCTGGCTCTTTTCCTTAGCGCGCAACCTGTTAATCTTGGCATCGGGGCCCCGGTGCTCCGCGCTGAGGCCCTGGCAATCCGCTCGGCACCTGCGATTGGGCCCCGAGGATCACCGGGGGGGGGGGCCCGAGGATGCCGCGGGGGCCAGGGCGCTCGCCCCGCGCGGCGGCCCGCGCGGAACCCTTCGGAGGCCCGCGAGTGACCAGGGGGCCACAGGATGGCAGCTTCGCTGGCGCAAGACTGCCCAGGTGCAGAACTCGACGGGGGCCCCCGCAGGAGCTCTGGGGAAAGTGTTGGAGCCCAATGGCGCACAGGCGGCCGCCCCGAGGAGGCGCCGGGCGGCCTGCGACGCGAGGTTGCCCCGTGAGTCAAGGGCAAAGGGCTTCAATAATCCTTGTTTTGCCATGGGAGCCCGAAGGCCCAAAGCGCGGGGTCGCGAGAGGGCGCCCAAGAGTCAGGCGAAGGCCTTTCAGGATGCGGGCGGCAGTTTGGCAACAAGCCTCACATATAGAACTTGCCCATCGTGGCGCCGTCAAGCCTGCTCGCCATCACGCGCTCAAATCACATCGCGCCGTCTACCTCATGCACGAAAATCTCTTCGTAAGGATGCCCCGGGGATTTTTCATGGCAGATCTTGATTGCGGCCTGCTCCTCGCTCGGTCCGACAAGGATATGATTTCTCTGGTGTGGCGTTCTCCTGGATCTCCAAGTTCTCACGCAAGCTGGTCGTTCTCTGG